GTCCTAAAAAGTTGACTGGTCACAAAATTTCACTGGAGTATGTTTTTGAGATATACCACAAATATGGCACGTCTCCTTAAACTTCTCTTCGCAGCTCAATCCACGCATAAACCTGGATATTTACCTACATTGATGTTCATCACGTGTCCGTTCCGCCTGCTTGCTTGTCGGGATGTAACACAAATGTATTATCTAATGCTATGTCACGACACGTTGCCACCCGAAGCGTCATCGGGAGCGCTTGCTTGCGGTCTCCAGCTGTTCCCGGCCTCCTGATGCTTGTAGGTTGTCTTAGACGATGGCTGTAGCTATACGATTGCCAGGATTGACACGTGTGACTTTGACGTGAACACAGCAGACATTGGCACGCTGCCAGGAGGATCAGCGGGCGGAAACAGGGCGAACACATGTTGGACGTGCTGGCGTTCGGTTTATCAGCTTGGCAACATGCCACGAGTGCATCACACTGTGACGCGATCACGCATGGCGGCAATCACCCCGTGACTGGTGATTGCCGCCATGATTACATGATCACACAGCACATGCTGCTACGGCATGCACATTTTAAAACAGAAACTAGTAGACACCATAGCACAGCAGTGTCGAGGCATACACTACTGCGCGCTAGAACGCGCGTGAAAAGGAACATGCTGTTCAGGCAGCACTCGGACAGCCGGCGTTCTGACCCTGGCCAAGTTTTAGTGATGCGTGCAGGCAGGGTGTACACGACTTAAACAACAGACGTGTGCGTGGTGTTTTATCAGTCTCCCGTTACGTATTTGGCGGGCGTGGATGGAAACCCTGGATGACACATTCTATATGAAATACATGACTGAGCTTGACTTGTGGATGCTCATCAGCGATCGGCCAGCGGGAGCGTGCATCGAGCTATCGTCATGAGTCTGCTGGCGTGTAAGGCGCCCGTTCAGGTCTCAGATTTACCCGAACCATTGAACGGCCGGATGTGGGGGACGAGGAGCTCACTCTAAGCGGTGCTTGTTGTGTGAGCACTGATCCTTACCATGTGATCGTGAATTTCCAGGTCAACAGTAGAATTTGGTGGGGGGTGGCAGAATTTGGTGGCGAAAGTTTAACGTACCGCAATGTTCGGCACGGTCCGCCCTGCCGCCGACGTGTCATGACTTTTAGCGCGGCCGCTGCGGGCCTGGCTGTCAAGGGCCCAAAAAGCGAGCGCCGAAAGCGACTCGAACGCACCCCGCCACTGGCAGGTGGATCGGGAGGCAGGTGCTCTAACCAGCTGAGCCATCGGGACGGCCATTATGGCCTTTAGAGTGTGGAGACATTGCGGCGCATCTGATACATGAACAGGGCGGTTCATTTGATGGCGTTGGCTTTATAAAGCTCAGCGTGTCTGTGTATGTTGTTCTCTTAGACATAAACATTCCCGTCGTGGTTATTTTCCGTGAGTTTACTGACTGGCCTGTTGCATGCTGTGCATCCATTGCCGGGCCAGCATATCGTTTTGTGTGTGTTTAACTCCGTAAATGGAGTACGTATCGAAATCCTCATGAGTAGCTCAGAGTTGCTTTCAATGACGGAACACAATTTAACCACCACGTTTTAGGAGAGATACTGATTGACTATTTTTGGTGTATGCAGGCCGAATTTTACTCGTGGTGCGGGCACATAGCTCAGAAACTAGAGGTTTTTGGTTCTAAGAGTGGGCGGGGCTGTGAACTGCACCGAATTATTTCAACATGGCTATTTCAGTTGAGAACCCCATACAAACGTGGAAGCACCCCCTTCCAGCTGATCACCCAGCTGGACGGGCCGCGAGTCGGTGCCCATTCTGTTGTTGGATCGGCATTTTGATAACGCCTGGAGCAGTGAACAGTAACTATCCAAGTTCGGAGACGCTGCCCGGAGAGTTTGTGACCGCGTGGTAATGGTTTCGATCTCCTCGAAGCCAATGTTCGAAGATTGGTTCACCCTCAGTCGTAATTCATGGTCATAAGGAGAAGATCGGCCGGGCCTGGCCAGGCCGGGATGCTCAATGACGCATCATTTTGGCCTGTGACAGCGTACAGCACCCACTGTGTACATTACACACATGGTATGTATTATGTTGTCTCCACTACATTCCGCCTCCTGCACGTTGAATCAGGGGCAAGTTTTCAAAGCGCTTCGCTGGGATGTCACGCGGAATGCTGAACAAGGAGCAGAAGGTTAATTCTTAACTGATCTCGAGCTATGCTGCGTCATCAGGTGGAATGGCTGACAGTTTTTATGCAGGAGACAAGCAGGGGACCATAAAACATTTATACCCAGGTGTACAAGGACCAACAGTCTAATAGAGGATCTCCAAATGTTGGTCTCCAAATGTACAAGGACCTACCCAGAATACAAATGTGGGAGCCAACGTCTGATTTCACCTGCTTGATATAAGTACGCTGGGGTAGTGTCGCCTTCAGAGCACCGATTGTAATCAGTTGTCTGATCTGATTAGTCTGATTGTAATCAGTTGTCTGATCATCGTCATGCGGAACGTAGCTTCAAAGGCCTCACTTATCCCCATAAACCTCACTTATCCCCATAAACTTACAAGAAAATGTCCTGGTCATGTGTAAAGTAACTCAGACTTAGCGTACTGACCAGCGGCCAGGCGTGAGATAAAACGCTTTCAATTGTTATTATGTTGTATTTAAATTCAAATGAATGTGCTAGAAGTGTTAAAAAATGTTGTTTGTTTTCGTTTGGTAAGTAAAATGTTTTTGGCGTAGTTTGCCGTAACCAATGTGATTAGAACAGTACATTTGTACTTTTTGTGCTAAGCGCAAGGAGTGCAAATGCATTCGTTTTTTGCAGGAGTTTAGCGACAGCTAACGCCGAAACTCTACCGTACGCTCTTGACCTCAGCCTCGAATTCAAAGAAATACAGTAGATAGGTTGAAAAGCTTACTATATTTCGGCAGACATACCTCCAGCTGAATTTTGAAATGTGTACATTATTTATATAAAGGGCTTTGACTTATAAGCAGCTTAAGTGATAAAAATGAAATATCAGAACTTATGAGTAAATGAGAACGTAAATGGCGGCTATAAGTTTCAAAATTCAACAAATATCAATAGCCGAAGTCATGCAACTGAAGAGGGTATGTCCGCCGAACGGCGGTGAACTTTGCTGAGCATTTATTGTATGTCTTCAAGTTTTAGACTGCAGGCAAGAATGAAGCATCAAATTTATGCTGATTAGGCTGCACAGTTCCAGGGGGAGTCTACTACCGATAAATTGACGCCGAAATATTTCGTTCCCAATCGGTTGATATAGCTCGACTTAAATTAAAAAGGTATACTGAAATGCAAAGATGCAACGTCAGCGTATGGGCAATGTCTTGCACTATCAGATATTGACACCATATGTATTGTGGTCATCTCAGGTGGACACCATATAGTCCATAGGAGTGGAGCTGCCTAATACACACATCTGTGTCTGTATCTGTATCAACGTTATTCATCAAGCTATGCCTGAACGTCACGCGTGAGTGAGACTGTGCTCTGGGTGAACTCAGGAAAAATGGGCATGCTGATGCATCGATACAATTTTTTTCTCATTTGCGTGAGATTTTAGGCTGACTGGCTACGTCTATTCATGTGTGGAAGTCATCCACTTTGGTTGTGACGTCATATACATGGTAATGCCCTGTAAGCATCACCCTCGTCTCAGGCTAATACAGGCGTCTCACTGGCATCGGTTGGTTGCAAATACGGCGGCGCTAGCAGCTTCTTGGAACATTCGCGTGGTTGGTCAGTGATCTGAGCGGCCTGGGGTCAAAGCTCTGCAAGACATGCAAAAATGCCGCAAAAACACGCTGGCGGTTTAGCGAATCCGTATTTAACAGTTTTTTCAATGCGGTAAAGAGGGCCTGGAATGGGTCTCGAGAAGCTCCGCCTGGCATTTATCCCAGGTCTCTTACTCTGTGAGCGGGTGACACCACTGACGTCATTGGGAAACCACCATTTACAGATACAAACAATTAAAAACGATAATTGGCCCTTATCTGTGTGTCGTGGGAAGATTAATTATAGCACGGCACTTTCTGCTCTGCTGCCGATAAAGATTGCCTCATATGTGCGCAGCCACAGCTAATTGGGTTCAAGCGGGACATAGGCGGCCTCGTTTGCGCACTCCGCTGCCACTGATGATGCCACTTTCCACTGTATTGCCGCTGGTTAGTTACAGTTTGTCCGATGATCTGCCTTTTAAGTGTGTCGTAGCAATACACAGTGAATGGTAGGTCGTGCCTGTGATTTGACGAGCCTAGTTGTGTCTGTTTCATGGTCATGTTGTGACCCGTGGAAGGTCACACTGAGTGTTATTAGCCGCGTTGTCACACTGAGTGTTATTGGCTACGTTGTGACCCGTGGGAGGTCACATTGGGTGCTATTGGCCACGTTGTGACCCATGGGAGGTCACACTGAATGTTATTGGCCACATTGTGGCCTGTGGAAGGTCACACTGCTATTGGCCACGTTGTAACCCGTGGGAGGTCACACTGAATGCTATTTTGCACTATCATCGCTGACTCTCAGTGTCCAACGTCCGGTTTGGTCCTACTATCTGCCTTACTGGACTACGTGTTGCTTGATTCGACTGCATGATCAATTCGACCCTGACCCCTGCTCTGACCCCTATGCCCCTCGTCCTTCGATCCCGCTTTCCCACCGCGACGCAAATAACAACTGCCATTGACTCGTCTTGAAAACCCAACAAGTAGCTAACTAACCTCCACCCCACCGACCCAGCTGCCTCCCCTTTCCCGTCCGGTCTCCGCCGGCAAACGCCACGCCACCACAAACCCACCCGACCCAGCCGACCTAACCATTGACCCAGCGCACCTGACCTCTGACCCGACACGCGTGACCCCGGCCCACTTGACCTGTGACCCAGCCCACCGGACCTGTCACCCGGCCCGCGTGACCTGTGATCCGGCCCACGTGACCTCTGTCCCGGCCCACCTGACCTGTGACCCGGCCGCCAGGTATCCCGGCACGAGCGGGAGATGGCCGAGGTCATGCACTCACTGCCCGAGTGCGTGCGGGGCGGCGTCTCGTCCGTGTCGGTGCGGATCCTGCGTATGGTGCTGTGCTGGTGCTGATCTTCACGGCCGCGTGGCTGCCGTACGCGGCCGTCACGCTGGTGGGCCAGTTCGGGAGCGTTGGCACCCTCTCGCAGTGGGTGACCGCCCTGCCGGCCGTCTTCGCCAAGGGCAGCGTCGTCTTCAATCCCATCGTCTACGGCATCGCTCACAAACACTTCCGCATGACGGTGAGGTGGCTGGGGTTGTGGTGGGGGTATGGCTAGGGTGGAGGATCAGGGTGGCGGGAGGGGTGAGTGAAACATTTCACATAAGACTTATGACACTGTGTTGGCAAGGATATTCTCCCCAAGTGCATGGTGTTTGCAAACATATCTCCACGATTGCTTGATGTCGCGGTTGAACCAGTACCGTATTGAAGTACTGGTTCCAATTTTGTCAGGGCCATTTTGTCATAATTTGTTTCTGTTGTCAGCACCAAAGCTAAAGGCAAAAACAGTCTGCACGCTTTTTACTTAAGTACGTAGGCACGTGTGGTGTGGACGAAATTCGAGAGCGCATAGCATGCCGAGTTGTCTTCACGGCAGCAGCGAACTCTGTACACAGGCGTAACATGCCATCGGGCATCAGTGCCAGCCGGTGATGGAGGAACTATGGCTTATCCCGGCGCCCAGCACGCCCGTTTTTGCCGCCCCTTCTCATCACTTGCGCGGCATCACTGGAAGGAAAGAAGTGATTGCAGCGCCTCGCTTGCGGAGTGTCCTCGCTTGTTTGTCCTCGCTTGTCCTCGTTTCCTCGCCTACGGAACAGCGATGTCCGGCCAGAGGCACAAGTCGGCGGCCGGCCAATGCTGATACCGACACGACAGCAGTGCTTTCCGAGGCACCGTTCCCGGTCCAACACACTGGCGAAATTGGAAAGCCTGGGGCAGATCGCGGGGCGTGAAACACTTTGCAGGAAATCGTGGCCCAGACGAGCGGTTTCCGCGGGATCTTCTTCCGCAGGCGCGGCTGCACATCCTCACCAGCGTATCTCTTTGGGCTGATGGCCATCGCCTTACTCGCAGGCATGTCAGGCACATCAAACGCAAAATAGCTTGCGTTGTCAATGAACGCGTTAAAATTCATGCGCGCGCTTAGCAACCCGCGGGACAGCGTTCACTCAGCGACTCGCAGGACAGCGTTCACTCAGCAACGCGCAGGACAGCGTTCACTCAGCAACCCGCAGGGCAGCGTTCACTCAGCAACCCGCAGGGCAGCGTTCACTCAGCAACCCGCAGGGCAGCGTTCACTCAGCAACCCGCAGGGCAGTGTTCACTCAGCACTCACAGGAAGTGTTCACCCAGCAAGCCGCAGGACAGCGTTGGGGTTCGTGATTTTTGACACTTTCAGCCGTCATTGGCAACTGGGCTGAGCCCTTGGCATGAAACGCACACAAGTTTTTCAGGAGTTGTCACACGTCTGGTCGCTGCAACACTTGACACGCGCGATGTGGTAACCTGACACACGCGATACTGCGACTTGACACTGGCGCTATGGTAACTTGCCACTCGCGACACTGAAACTTGACACTCGTGATATGTTCCCTTGACACTTGCGGACCAAAACACGCTGTGATTCGCCGAGCTTGTTTGCGGCCGAGCGGATGTATTGCCAATTCTTGGCAGCCATGATCAAGTGGGCAGGGCGCCAGTCTTTTCCCTTATTTCCGGGCGCTGTAGGCCGAGCCGGTGATATGTTCCCTTGACACTTGCGGACCAAAACACGCTGAGATTCGCCGAGCTTGTTTGCGGCCGAGCGGATGAATTGCCAATTCTTTGCAGCCATGATCAAACGGGTAGCACGCCCGCCTTTCCGCTTATTTCCGGGCGCTGTGACTCTCCTATATTTGTTAGTGTCGAATGGCATTGCGTAGCTTTGACCCCGCTATTCCAATCTCAGCTACGGGTCCAGCCAAGTCCGCCATCTTGTGCGCGAGGTTTTTACGAGTGTATTTTGCGGCAAAATTCTAGCGTGGCGGATGGAAAACCTCTAGTTGATAACTGACTGACAACGTGAAATACTAATGTTTGTTGTCTTTACGCTCAACATAATGATATGTGAGTACGGAAATAATGCTTAGGGGCCGTCGATTAACTCTGATGCGTATTTTGCCAGCGTCACTCCTCCCTGCCACGGTTACGCCCTTGTGAGTCTGAGTGGTTCCCTCCGCTTCCCCTCATTACGCTATACTTAGCGTTATGTCCCAAAAAAAGCACTCATTTGGCCCCTGATTGGGCTAGAGATGCCAAACAAATCCTGAGCGTGCTGCTTGTCAAGAGAGGAAGCCAAGCATATCCGACTTGAAGGTTTAAGAGCGTTTTTTAAAGAATGTGTCATGATCCCAACCGCATTTAAGCAAAAGGTAGCACTATCAAAGATCATCTCCTTACGTTACGTTACGTTAATCGTCTCCCCCGTCACGCTTCCGTTTTCTTCCATCCCCCTCTCACTTCCATGCGTAGCATAACTTGTGGATGATCCCGAAGCCTTTAAAGGCCCGCTGCGAAGACACACTTTGAGTCTGCAAGGCAATATTAAAACAGTGGTCTTAGTAGTCTTAGATCGTGGTCTGTCATTAACATTGTGACGAGCTATCAAGCTTGTGGCCCTAGGTCTACCCTGGGCCGAATATGACCCCGCGGCTGTGCTATGATTCGAGATATGTGAAATGCAACTTGTTAGATGAACGGGCGATCATGGACGCAAATGAATGTTAAGCACAGCTATTCGCTCTTCTTTCAAAAAGATGCGGTAAAACTAGGTGAGAAAAGCTGTAAGGAGTAGGCAATCTTTTTTGTAATCGGTAGAGCAGCGGTAACTGGAGCGCATCGCTTCTCTCAAAAGTCGCCATCCAACAAATTCACGTTCTTGGCACGTGAGTGTAATTTCCGGTACTCAGGAACAAATGGCACGATATACTGTTTCGGCGACTTGTCGGAAGCTATGAGAGGACCGCATTCCTCCATGAGGACCACTCACAGCTCTGCCAGGTTATGCGCCTGCTTGAAACAACCTAGGACCATGGCCACTTAGCATTCAACAACGTATCCAAAATACAATCTGCTCGATCCTTTCGATGAGTTCACTGCCCTGTCCCCCCGTGCGAATGGAACTCCTCGTCTTCCATCTGAAGGGGATCTCAAACAGGTCTACCGTGATGGTGTTGAAGATGCGACCGCATGCTCATACGCATTACTCTCACTACCTCCCCCTACCTCTCACTGCCTCACCCAAAGCAGCGGTCACTTTCCGTCAGTCGCTGATAATGATGGCTCAGGTACCAGAGCGGGTTGGCGAATGCCCTGAACGAAGCCCTGTGAGGCTGCAGCAGTGGCATCTCTGCGCACGATGAACTCTGTCATTGGTCGCAATTTCTGCGCTATGGCAGGACAACCAGATGGGCCCGTGCACCACATGTGTGCGCAGCGTTACCACAACGGGGCAGGTAATCATAAAGCTAGTCTGTTGGCCTAGCTGGCAGCTTTAATTGCCTCGAGAACATCTACACTTCCAGGCGTGAATGGCCCAGTCATGTCACAGACCCCTTGCAGGCAGTCTATAGCCGCAAATAAATTATTTTTGGTGAAACCCAGCCAATGAGGAAGTTTTCCGGGACCAGCGGTTCACGGCAGCCATCCCAGGGCTGGCCGCCCTGAGTAGCTCCTGGGCAAACTTGACAACCCCATCAGAGGCATCTCTGGTGGTTTCACCGACCAGTCCGCTATCTGCCGCGGCAGAGGCAGTCGATTGACCAATACAGCTCCGGCTATTGGGGCCGTTTGAGGGTGAGGAGTCTGGGCCCGGCTCACGGCCGCACGGCCGCCAAAAATGCGGCCTCCGGAGCGATCTCGCGGATGTGACGTCGGCGAGGCACGCTGAACATCTCCGCCCAGCATCGGTCCGCTTACGATGCAGGCCTCATTGATCGCTGCCGCATTCGAAGTCATTGTGACGAAGCATATTCCAGGAACTCGATCCCAGGCTCGTCACCCATGCAAGGCTTCAATAACGCTTTCCGCTGCCTCATTTCCGCTGCCAGATGAAAGCTTTGGACCGCGAGTCGGCGCGCGATGCCTTTACCGAAGGCCGGAACTGGGAGACGATAACAAAAATATCCCTTCCAGCCGTGCAGTGCTTCATGCACTGCCGACGAAGTGAGGCAGAGTTTGTCGTCAGGTGGGAGCTATCATGGACCGAGATTTACGCTGTGGATCCCGCCGCGTCGGGTCACTCCTCAGTTTGGGGCACGCAGGCCCGCTTGGTGCGAGTCAGCGGGGCAGCCATGTTGACACCCGCCACTGGAATAGCTCCTCTCGCTGGCTCCGGCAGCGGAGCAGATGAGATGTAGCGACCAAGCCGGCCCAACTGAACACCGGCGAATCCTTCGGTGCGCCTTGTTGCTTACCACGAAACTTGGACATTGGTGCTGTTTTTTTAGACACTTATCAGCGGTCTTGGGGCTGGCCTCGACTATGCGCTGCTTCAGACAGGTCGGCCTACGAGGCCTTTCCCAGAATCATAAAACTTCAGTGGTACTCATCTTTTAGCTGTTGATTTTTCCGATAGATGATGATTGAAAAGATGACCGGTGCCCCTCTTTTACCGGAATGTTGGCTTTCGGACAGGGAGGGGCGGGGCTCCACCAATCTCCGCATCACGGGTCATGAGTCTGCATTCTGAAAACACTCGACCTTCACTATACCAAAGAGTACGGCAGTACGCCTGCTTACGACGACGGTAGTAAGCAAGCGTTTGCTATCTTGGCAAAGCTCGATATTTTAAGCTGTGCTCATGGTCACTTGTGGACGGTATTCGTGGCCACCGGTGACCGTGAAAATAGCTTTAAATGTCGAGTCTTGTGTGCATAGTCATGGG